AGATGGTCACAACGTGACGAGGTAATGAGTAATTGAATGTATGCGGATAAAATATTGTTGGCCACGTGAGACGTGAGTTATAGCGTTTGTTATAGCGCGACTGTTGAAGTTAAGTGTATCGCAAAGTTATATTCAGAAAGAATAAACCAGTTTTATTTAAGAAAGGACTTGTGTCGCTAAAGTTTCGTCGGAACGAATTTACGGAAAATTAACTAACGACTGGAGACGTTACAGTAATATAACATATAAATTACAGCAAGACTGTCAAACTTTGTAACAAACCGTTGGTAAAGCTTCTGTATCTAGATACGTATCGTATCGACTACTATGATGAGATATGCACCCCTAGTTATTGTTTAACTTGTGTAAAAATTTTAAAGATTAATATTCAGTAGATCTTTAAGGTAAAAAAGGGCAGAATGAAGTCCGATTTCTTGTTTATCATAATTCTCTATTACAACATGTATATTGTTTGTTGTCAAATCATCACCAGAGCAATATTTTAACGTCAATAAAACATCCTATACAGTCTGATTTTATATCATTTTTCGTTGTAATTACAAAACTTCCTTCAGTACCTTCAGTTAAAACATTTTTTTTACATAATAAATCAATATAAATGCATGCGCTCTAACGAAACTGGAGTGTATTAAAAACATTGTCAAGAACATAAAATTTAAAGAAACAACAACAACAAAAAGAGTACTTACGGTAAGATTGTGGCGATCGCATATCAATTGTTACTATGGTTAATAGGCTATACGATCACTTAAGCTTAATTAGTTACATTGTACTTTATCCTATAGGGTGGTTGCTAAGTTATTGCCGTCTTTATTGAAGTTCCGAGTTTTTTTTGTTTTGTTTCGGGCAGAGCTAAAGGGGGTTATTGGCACTAGATGCCCTTAATTTTCACTTGATAGATTGGAGGGCATAGCTACCCCAAAACACCCATAGCCAATTCTAATCGAACAGTAGAATTTTACTGCCACTCTCATAACGCACCTGTGGCCCCAAAGCGTGGAGAATGATTTTGTTGTTGTTGTTATTTGCGGTAACGGAACACGAACTCTAAAAGCACTAGGATACACCCGGTCCCAGGAAGTACTAGTTCTATGGTGGCAGTGGTCGGGATTCAATCCACGGATCCGTTTATATAGGGAGGCTGGTGTGCTATCTACTCGTCTGATGAGGGTGGGAAGGGCGACCGACCTCCATTAGAACTTGAATCAACTCACTCATTGGGATGATTTCTAGGTTGATTGAACGTCCTTAAAGTTGGTATAGAAGGGTTCTTTTGATTGTCTCGCGTGTAGCTCATATTCACTTGTTTTAGTATTATTGCAATTTATCATATGGTCTTCACCTCGGACAAGATGGACGTTGCAGATAAATCGGTAGTACATTCTCGTTATGCCAACACTTTAGTTGGTCACTTTGTTTATCCACAATTAATGTTGTAATGGTGTTTTTGCTCTTCGTTAGGTGTGTAATAATTGTGATGATATTGTGTTATGGCTTCTGAGTACTGTTCTAATTTTGTTTACATGTCATCGGTGTGTTTCAAATACGTACCTTTGACATAGGGGAATTAAGCTATGTGTCTGTAATTTGTTTTCTGCTTATTCTTGGCGTTTATCTTCTTCTTTATCAGTTGTTTGGGATATCCATTGCTAAGGAGGGTTGTAGTGCTATGCTCTTCTTCATTTATAGCATATTCTGCATTACAAATCTTGTTCATAATGATTCTGAAAACTGTAGTCTAAGATACCAGTATCTACATTACTAAGGTGGTTTGATTTATAGCCTAAGTATTTACCCGAATCCGAGTTTCCTGTAAACTCCTCTAGTGTATGAGTTATGTGTCTTCATTAACAATCACGTCTCGGTATGGTAGTTTGTTTTGTTAGACTTAGATGACCACATACAAGGCTTACAAACCATTTCTTCTCGAATCAAACACAAAACTTTTGTGACTGTTGCCATATGCACCCATTGGCAAGGTTATTTTGACTATTAATAAGTAATTCATGGAGCTTAACCTTTAGTTCAATTACCCCTTGCTATAAATTTCGATAAGCTACAGATTGAGTTTTTAGTCCAAAATAAACAAATGAAGATGTAAAACAAATCTGGTAGATGGAGATTAATAGGGCAAAGAGTTGACAGTCAACATAGAAGATTGTGAAAGTTGGTATTAACTGTTTACTTTCACATTAATTCTCGTTGCTTTTTTCCCCCAATTTCCATCATATCTTAGTCCTCAATGCAACAAAGTAGGCCTAAATTGTCACTTTGTTTTAAAGATTTTTTAGGGGATCTTACTCCTGAGACCCCCTCCCCCTAGTTTCCACTTTGGCTGCCACACTTCTATTCATTCTCAAATTTGTCTCTCCCCCAAACATACAAACTTGGCTCCCAACTCCTATGGAAAGTACTTAATGTAAACACTGGTATAAGTGGATTTCCTTGTAGATATGATAAATAACATTTTATTCATGACAGATGGAGTATGTGTTTCATGGCAAAAATGGAGATTTTGGAACACTGAATATTGCTTAGGAAAAATAATAAACAAAATATTATACCAGTTGATCCAGGAGCTATTCAAAGCAAACAATTAATAAGCAGCCAGTTTTTTAACGACTAAAGTCTGAACAAGAAAGTCAAACATTTTAGTTACTCTTCTATTTACTGTTCACCTTAAGCTTATAAATCTGCCTTAACAGCCCAATCTTTAAATGTAAAAGTACACTGTTCATTAAACAGAATGGGGGACTAAAACTATGGTCTTAAGAGTTATCTTTCTCAAATTCCACAATGTTACAAGTGTTTAACATGCAATCAGAACCATCCTTAACAAAACAGAAAGAGCATTCTTGACATTAACAAATCTAGTGAAAAATAATTAACAATCCAGAAAACTTTGCAAGTTTGTATAGGTTGAAGAGAGACAAAGATTTAGGGAGATAATGGGTACACAAAGCTTTCATGAATTTCAATTGCACTTGTGGTAAATGTCTAAATTTCTCATTAACAGACTTTTAAGACTTCATTTCGAAGAATGAAGATTCCCACAAATAATCAATATTTGTATTATGTTAGGAGCATATCATACCTAGCACCAAGTGAAGTGAAACAAGTACCTTGAACCATTTCTTGAAGAATGACTACATCACGATTAAAAACTAGTTTCCTCCATTGTATTTGCTCATCAACTAAAACAGTTTGAACAATTAAATTAAAATTTCCAGAAGTCTTTATTTTAAAACAAAGCTACAGAATGGAGTATCTGCACCATGTCCACCATGGGGATAGAACCACAAAGGTTAGCATTATAAGCTTCTTATCCAACAGTTTCCAAGTCAATTTCTTTAATTTAAGTGACATGGAACTTATAGACTAAAATATGATTCCTTGTTAAGCAATTTTGTTTATTATCTATCTTTGTTTATAAACTTATCTTACACTGTTTCAGGAGTTTCATGATGACAGAAGAAAAATTGGATTACACAAACAACTGATTGAAATTTTGATGAGACTCATTGGATTTTAAAAAGTGTGGTCTTTCCATTTTCATATTTAATACTCGTATAAAAATCAATGTTCTCCAAAAATGTGTAATTCATATTTGTATTCTCTTGTTGGTACAAATCAAAATAGAATCAATATAGTGTTGTAAAATGTCATTGCTTTTCTGCATCAACATTTATCATCAAAAAATAAAATTTGTACAATGAAGTCCAGAAACTTTTTTTTTGCTCCCATTAGCTACTAAAATGTTTTGAAATCAATTCCACATCATAAAAACAAACTTGAGCAACCCACATTTTCATATTACTGGACATATTATGCTGTATCTGTATATTCAAAAGAAATGCATCAATTTTTTGTCTGAATTAAACAAAAATGAATAAACTGCCTTGCACGTATAAGCTGCATCTGCAAGAAATGAATGGTAAAGGCAATATTTAAGCTATTTACTTCAATCACTGACTATTATCAGGGGTTATATAATTCTTTTTATTATTAGTGCCTCCTACTTAATAGCATATTTTGATACAGGGTACTTCTCTCTATATGTACAATATTCAGTTTTATTTCTTCTTAATTTACAAAGGTTCAACATTTATAATGGATTCCTTTTTGCTTTTATTCATTCTCTTTAAAGACAGCATAAAATGCCATAAATCACTGAATGAAAAACAATTTGTAAATTAAAATCTTTGACAAATGAAACACCTTAAAAAATCTTTTATTGAACACAATGCAGTTACCCATATAAAGTCATTTTACAACCTCATGAATAAAGTCGAATAAATCCAGTATAACAAACGTTTTATAAAAAAGAAACCTAAACCAACCACCAAGTATTATCGTGGCTATAAAATGCTTAAGACAAAGTTCATCTTGATAACAAGTTATATATATATATCTTTAAATAACACCCATATAAACAAGTTAAAACTTTCCCACAAAACTGTACTGAATGTTTCTCAAGTAAAACAAGCTATAAAACTAGTAAGTAGCTAAGTTAATTATTTAGAAACTTAAAAATCTGAAACGAAAGAACAAACTCAATTTTATTAGAGTACAACTGCCTTATTTAAATAATAAACATAATATGTTAACACAGTACACTGCATTGATACATCTTTAATCGTTATGCAGGATCTGTAAAGAATTTATTTTTCACTCCATAATACTGTAAAACATTTAGCAATGAATATGTACCAGACAAATCTCCACTGCCTGAAATAATTCACTGTGATTTTATACCAAGAAAATTACAACACTTTTAACTCAAGCTGCTTGAAATACAACTGTTTGAAACAGTGTAAAAAATCACTGGTTGGTGTATTCATTTAACCTTCGTAACCATAATGTTAACATACTACTTATCATAACTCTGACAATAATACAAGCTTCAAAAGCTCAAAAGAAATGCTAAGTTAAAAAATATCACAATATTTGAGAGTGGGGGTGGTGGACTGTAAAGATCAAAATATATATGTGAGTGTAAAATAATTTAACTAACAGGAATGCTTAAAATCATCAATCTTATTCATGTAAAGAAAAATTGATATAATCATAGAGCAGTTTGAAGAATTAATTGTTTGGGTATCACAACACAGATTAAATAAAAAGTTGAACTGTATCGCTCCAATTTAATGAAATGTTATATGACAAAACTGAATATTCCAGAAATTAAATGTGATATAATATTCAGAATGAAAAACATATATAAATTAAAATTTTGTATATCCTCGTTTAATATTTTTAAATTTGTTTTAAAAACTATTCTCTCTTTGCCTTCCATGTATCATGAAGTGTAAATTTGTAATAAAAAATATGAAATGTTACAGTTATTACTCATATGACTTACAATACTCCCCCCCCCCCAACAACAATTTATACAAAGGAAAACAAAGTGGAATGTTTCACACAAATCACTCTTTAGGAATATTAGTAACAAAATATGGAAGTTAAAAAAAATTTACATTAGTAGGCAATGTATATATGTAGTATGACTTGATACAAAAATATTTTTACCTTAACTCAACATTTTCATATGAAAAAAACACTTTTAGTTCATGTGAAACAACAATTAACTGCATGTGTGTGTTTTACTATGACATTATAATAACAATTTACATTTCCACAATTAATATTAGTAACAACTACAGTGAATGAGCAAATTTCATATTGCATAACAGTTAGTAAAAAAAAAAAATTGTTGTATAAAAGTAATAAAACTATTCTACCATTGCCAACAAATTTTAATCAATCAGGAAATTCGAGATGCTGATTTCATGAAACTGTTAACAATCTCTGGCAGAGGTGGATACTTGAAAAGGTCCTGATGGCCTATTTTTAAGTTTGCATTTAAGGCTATGAACTCAGTTACCTTGTGTGGCCTGTCTCTTAAAGACCTTTGGTAAAGATCATAACCTAATTGAAAAGGCACTAAATGATCATCCTCTGCATGAAATATCAACACAGGAACCTGAACATCCTTTATCCGTTCTTCGACATCAAAATCTAGATCTTGCTGACAAGGAGCAGTAAAAAAATAATAGAAGAATGGCATGTACCGATGTATACTGGCCAAAGGATGGAGACGAGTAAGGTCGATCACATTTGCAAATGGAGAGTCTAAGAAAAGAGCGACTGGATTTTGTACCAATTCCAACTTGGAAACCATGTTTATTGCTACAGCTGTTCCCATTGAATGCCCCCAGATGAAAAGCTGTGATGAGTTGACTAATGGCCTCAGCCAACTATATACAGCTTCGGCATCCTCAACCATTCCTGGACCTGTTGTGTGACCAGATGAATCACCGAAGCCTCTGTAATCAAAAGTAATGACATGGGCATCAATGCTGCTGCTGGTAAGAGTTTTGTACAGGCCTACACGATGTTTAGAACCCCTTGTACCACCTGCTCCATGGAAATACAGGAACACTGGTCGTCCATCTTTAAAATCCTCACTAGTTACAAAATGACCTTCCTGGCAATCATTGGCTCGGCTGCTCGGAAAGATGTGCCAAATACCAAGTCTCGAGTTTCCAAGCTCAATAAAAAAATGGCGAGTACAGTTGAGACCAAATTCATGAGGTGCAGATAGGTTTTTTGAAAGTGAAAAGAGTTCCACTCCAGGCATAATTACACAAAAACGGCGTAGCCATGGACAAGTTGCCCACCAAGTAGGGATGAAGACAAAAAGAATGAAAAAGGTAATCATAAAACCTCTGAGGATAGCCAGAATTTGTTGCCATGTTCTAAGTTTCTTTATGTCATCACTAGTAATGTGTTTGTAATTCCTTTCAATGTAGGTCACACCTTTGAAGTTGTGGTTTTTGTCTCCCCTGTGTCGAATCATACTTTGCTCCATTTTCTGTTTGAGAAACAGTCTAAAAAAACAGGAAGAAGAAAAGAAGGAGTCTGTATTACCAACTCAATCTTATGCAATGTCTAGAAATACATGGTTATCTGAAGAAAAGTTGAAAGTTAAAGGCACAGGTATATGACTAAAGAATATTCATTTGAAGCATTATGAGAAATATTTCGATGTTATCTTGCCACAATTTAGAACATAAATTTACTATACCTTTTTGGAGATGCTGTCCAAGATACTAATAAATGGGGTTGCACTAATATTAGGTCATCAAGAAATTAATGTCCCATTTTGGAACACTTTCATTAACCATCCCCCCAAAAAATGTACATTAAGTATAAAGGTTAAACGAACCATCTAAATGTCACATTAGTGCAGCCTATATAATGTGTAAAGTTTAGTATGCTCTAATCCCTTATAGTGATGGCACAAGATGAGACACACCCATTCAGCATGTAATGCTGTTTGAATACAAGGAAAACAATGCCTCTGTAGCCACAAAAAATATCAAAGAAGTTTATGGAAATGTTTTGAACATTCGTAAGTGTCAACGATGATTCAGCAAAGTTCATTCAGGTGACTTTAGTCTTAAAAACTGTGATGGCAGAGGCTGAAATGTTGGAATTGATATTGATGCTCTGAAGATGCTTGTTGAGTTTAATCCAAGGCAACACACTCGTGAAATGGCCCTGAAATTGCATGTCACTCATGAAACAATACGTAAACATCTAAGGAATATGGGAAAACTCCATAAAGAAGGTGATGATCATCGTTTACAACGTGTGGACGTTGCTTCGTCTCTTCTGTTGCGTAATTGTCACCAGTGATGAAAAATGGATTCTCTATACGAATATTAAACACCAAAAACAATGGCCCAGTCCTAGACAAAAAACCACTTCCGACCCCAAAATCTGGATTCCATCCGCAGAAAGTGATGCTTTGCATTTGGTGGAACATCAAAGGTGTAATTCATTTCTAACTCCTCAATCCACAACTAACTGTCAATGCAGAGATTTATAGTCAGCAACTGGAATGTTTAAATCAAGCCCTTCATCGGAAACACCCTTCACTTCTCAATAGGAAAGGTGTTTTTCTTCTCCACGACAATGCACGTCCACATGTGGCACGTTTGACGCAACACAAGATTATAGAATTGGGTTGGGAAGTTCCTCCCCACCCACCATATTGTCCAGATATGCTACCATCAGATTACCATTTTTTCGTTCGCTGCAACACCATCTTAATGGGAAAACGTATGCAAATGTGGAAGATGTTAAATAGAACATCTACATGTTTTTACTTC